TTTTTTTTTTTTTTCGCGCAACTACGTACCAGTTACAAGTATAACTATGAATATAGCCCCCCGCGCCTTCCAAAATCTCAAATCTCGGCATTGAAATAAGCCAAATTCCATTTCCTCGTTAGCTATTCAAAGCCACGAACTCCGTTTCTTTTAATGACGAGAGAAGAAAACTATTTTTGAAAAATTTGTTTACTACGGTATACCTAAGGACAGTGTTTTTCATTTCTCAACAGCAACTTTTATTCGTCCACGTACACTTCTCAAAAGCCATGTCGTAATCATTTGTGCTTTTCATGTTCTCTTGCTATCTGGCAACCCCGGGCAAAATGTTGGGTAACGAAGACCTAAAATATCACTACACTGGCGTCTTATCAATTGTCGTTTCAATACTGAATTGTCTCAAGTGGTCTTTTTTCAACCTCTTCCTAGCAGCGCGCAGTGTGTGATGGGAAGCAGGAGGGGCGACTGGGTGCGAAAAATAAACAAGCAGCAACCAAAGAGCCAGCTTTTCAGCTTTTTATCCCTATATACCGCGATGTCTTCCATATGAGGGTATCGGCTGTATTTTGCAATACTGTGATACTAACACTAAGCCTGAGTGCGCGTGTGGATTAAGGCCCAGTGCAAACCTATCAGTACATAGTATCAGTTCACTCTTGCATGAATAATTCCCATGGCGAAAAACAAAATGAAATTCTCAGAATGTTTTTCTACTCGGGCATGGAAGAGACAGCTTTTAACTTCGCTAATGTGATTGTTATGTTTATTCTACTTGGCTGAAGTCACTTGTGATAGAGTGTCTTTCCACACGTAGCTGATTATATGTGAGGCGTGACTGAATAATAAAACCGTAATGTCATAACAAATCCTGAAAGCTGTCTCAAAGACGCTCCGAATCCTCAGAGTCCCGACAGCTTTCATCGATTCGATCATCAGCTCAGTGTTGTTGGAGAGGTTGACTTTATCTAACTAGTCCCTCAAATAGACCCAAATCTTCAAATGCATGATGAACTCTTTCTTTACTGCAACAATATTAGGTAAGTCTTTCCAATAGATCACGTCAAGCTTCTTGGGACCTCACATTTTAAAGAACCTTGGAACTAGCCGCAGTCTTGGACCGAAACACTATGTAACCAGACCATTTAATAGACTTGTTTAAGGCACCGCTACAGAGGAGAACATATCAAACAACAAGTTCCATCGAACGCATCGCAAACGTTTTCAGAAATAACATTATTTGGACTTTTAGACTCTCAAATGAATATTAATTACTCGTATTCTATTACGGCCTGTCTAAACATGGCTGAAAAATCTTTAGGCATGATTCTAACCTGAAACGTTAGACCTAAAGCCTGTGGATTTTAACCCCAGGTTTTAGGCCTGTATACACGTCGTTCCTTGACTCTAATCCCTCCTAATCACCAAATACATTTTACCCATAGATGCAAAACTAAACGTGGCCTGATCTGTCTGCTTGTCATTCAGTGATTACCCCCAGCCCTTACTGACATACAAATGTGTGAATTATTTCAGTGTCTTCAATTTCCTTCACATGGAAATCAGTCTTTCTGAGCATTTTCTTCATTTTTAGGGCTGGTGTATACATTTGTTCAAGCAAGTCAAGAGACCACCAAATCATGCAACATCACACAACACCAAGATGCACGAGACGACATTTTGACGTGGTTCAAAGTGCGTGACGCGCTTGACATCTCTTGGTTACATGCAGTCAATTCGCCAACAAAACTTGAGCAGGGTTTGTCTGGCGAAATTATGATGTTAGAAGCAGATGTTCTGATGCGAAACAATCAGGTATGTCAGGGGATTTATCAATGGATTCCCTTTCCATTATTTCCCCACAATGTCCAAATTTCGCCAGTGACTTGGGGATTGATTGAGTAGTAGAATAACTGAATGATTAATACTTTTGATTGATTAATCAATAAGTTATTAATTGATCAATTGGTTTCGTTAATGGATCAATCGATTGATTGATTGACTGATTGTGATTGATTGATTGACTGTTTGACTGACTAACTGATTGATTGGCTGATTGATTGATTTATTGACTAATTGATTGATTGACTGACTGACTAAAAGATTTATTGACGGATTGACTGACTGATCGATAGATTGACTGATTGACTGACTGATTGACTGATTGATTGATTGATTGATTGATTGATTGACTAACTGATTGATTGACTAATTGGTTGATTGGTTGATTGATTGATTGATTGATTGATTGATTGACTGACTGATTGATCGATCGATCGACTGATTGATTGATCAATTGGTCGATCGGATTGATCGATTGATTTCGATCACTAGAAGTGCGTTTGATCATTTGATATATGTTAATTTGCGCAATACCAAATAAATATTATTATTATTATTATTGGGGAATGATTGATTGGTTGTTTGATTAACGAATTGAACGATCGATCGATCGATTGATTGATTGATTGATTGATTGATTGATTGATTGATTGATTGATAGACTGACCGAGTGACTGATTGATTGGTTGATTGTCTCCATTAGGTAAATGGTACTCCAGTGATGGCCCATCCTCCGGCCGTGGACAGCAACCTCACACTGGCAGATTTTCTAAAGCAAACAACAACCTCGTCAAAGGGCATCAAGTTGGATTTCAAGACAATTGTGGTGGTCGAGCCGTCCCTAAAGATGATAGAGAACATGACATCCAGCAGGGATGTCAAGAACCCGATCTGGCTCAATGCTGACATACTACCTGGTCCATGCTACGACAAGATATGCGTTCCGGTCGATCATTTTCGATTTTTATCTTTCTGCAAAAAATACTTTCCCAAAGCAACTCTTTCCATAAGCTGGACAACAGGCTACAATATGACAACGGCGGAAAACTACTACAATTGGTCTCAAGTTATTTCGATGGGGAAGCTTGTGTCGCAAATTTCTCAGCCAATAACACTTCCTATCCGTGCGGTTTTGGTAAAACGCTCCTGGGAACAGATTCATTGGTTGCTTGACTTATCAGAAACCTTTACCATAACTATTTGGTCCTCAGTCTCTGACAAGGTAGACGTCCAAGACCTCGTTAGACTTAGAGGGAGTGTTTTGGACAAAAGAAGAGTCTTTTACGATCTTCCACCAAGCCAAGAGAAGGCGTTCAAAGCAGCTTTAAAATCCCCTGGGACTAAATACATCTCAAATTCCGTAAACAGCTTCGGGTGGAGAGTCATAGCGAGAAAGCAATGTGAAGATGTTCTTGTTGGTCGTAACAGCGTGATGTTTTCGGGAAAGGGTGGTTTGGTGATATCGGACAAGATTCTTTATAAGATCACTGCCTATTATTACCTATTCGTAAATGGCATTTGTTCATTTGTCAAGACTGATGCGCCAAATCACAAGAGGAGTGTTATAATACAAGTTCACGTTGAAAACGCCAAAAGCACGGTAACAAACATAGGAAAGGCAAGTTCTTCGGGTGATGGCAAGTTTGTAACGCTGGTTCTGCACAACAATGGTGACTTCCAGTTTTCGATAAATGGCGGTGATACCAAACTAGGATCCGTTAAAAGCGACACTAATATGTTCAAATTCTTGATCACGGAGGGTTCACCTGATGGTAAACGCAGAACATTCAAGTGTTGGATCACTGCGCAAGACAGCAAGAAGGAAGAAGCATTCGTTTCCTTGGAAACAGAGAGCGAGCCAATGGCAGGTCATCTGTTGATCAGTACTGGAGTACAATCAGGAGCGGTCCTGGTGCAGAAGGTCGAGATTCGGTTGGCAGCTAGTGAGACTTCTGGAGGCGGAAAAGGGCCCCATTATTTCCATAAGTTTCTGTCTGTTTTGTGGGCAGTGGCAGCAACTACGCTATATTTGTAGAAAGGACGCGATGCCATCACAAACTTTGAAAACAAGCTACAGTCAAATCCCCGCCTTACGGACACCTCATTATCACGGACAGTTTGTTTTGTCCCTGGGGAAAGAAAGTCCTTACATTTTCTCTAAATTCAACCCGCTTAATACAAGCACCGCGTTAATGGTCAGCCACTCCAAAATACGAAGACAATGATTAAATAATAATGACTGTAATGATAATTGTATCTGGTTAGCAAATTCGGTAAAATTATAAACAGAGCAATCACCCCTAACAGAAATGCCTGGGTCACAGAATGTCAGATTATTTTAAACAATATTTTTTGCGTGCGCCAACGGAAAACAGATACGGCTAGAATTCTGTCAATTTAAATAAAGAGTTTACTGATTGAAGACCTTTGGAAAGAGAACCTCAGAGTCTCCATTTAACCGGAGGGCAACTGCCATAGTGAGATGTGATGTTTGGGAAGACAGTGAATCACATCATGAAATGAGCGGTATACGGTTTCTTACACAGGACATACGAAAACAGACGGGTGCAGCGGGTGGCGCATACCGTTACGGGGAATTAAACTTTAGGGTAAGCTAATAAAAATGTTTGGATCTCTTAAAATTGTATAAGGATTCATTCACTACAAAAGTCGGTATACAGGAGCATCTTTAAACTCTAGTGGTAGCCCTAGCAAAGGGAATTAGGGGACCACATGAAGCAAAGAAGAAAATCTTTTCACCTTCGAACATACAAGCACTGGTAGATTTAATCCGGAGGTCGCGCGTTCGAATCCCACCGAGGTCAACAGGACTGGCTCATGAAGTTCTTAGGGAATATTTGCTTTTCCTGTCTGACCTTTTGGCGACATCATAATTACAAACTCAGCAGTGTGATAAGCTCAATACAGACAAGTATATTTTTGAGCGATGTGCGCAAATTTGCGCATATCACTTCTACAAGCAGCTGTCGGGTTAGTCCTTTTGTCGTTGGAAGGGCTAACTCCTTCGCGATAAAATTTTTAATTTGTGATCGATTTGTCCCCATAGTTTGTTGAAGAATACACATTATTTTTAATTATTATTTCCAGAACTTATGACCATTAGAGTCATGGTTGGCGACCTGATAATCCAGATCAAGTTCATACGCAGTTCCTTTTAAAATACTTTGAGCTTTCTTAAGCCTAAAAAACGTTTAGGTTAAAAACGATACGCTTTCTATTCTCTTTTCAAAACCATGAGACTCACTGGTTTTGAGTTAATCGAAATATCTTGTTGTTATTTGCTCTTAGATTTGTTGTGCTAATCAGGTTAGGAAGCAAGATATTCCTCAATGTGGTTTATACTCATCCACAAGAATGGGTGTTTCGTTTGGTAACAACCGGTTTCGCTGCCTGACGAATTTCCTACGTCTTAGTTCGCAACAAAGTCGCTAAATATTACTTTCTGTAAACAACTGAAAATATTCCCTTAGTCCCTCTCGGAAAAAACCTTTTAATATATTTCTCGTTCTTTTAAGCTTTCCCTCCAAGCTTGCCCTCCAAGGGTGGAAAATTCGGGCTTTGGCAATAGGCAGCAAGACGAATATGTAGGAAGCAAACTCGAACGTGGCGAATTTGAAAAGTAGCGAACCGTTGTGAACTTTATAGTGTCACCTTTACCTTTCGTTCTTCCACAAATTTGGCTTTCTGTTCTGAAGGGAGGTCATAAAAGATCCTTTTTCTATCGGACACTTTATTTTGTAGGACAACTAGGTCCTTAATATTGGGCTTATCGAAAAATGCTGACCACACTGTTAGGCTATAGTTACTGGAGAGGCTCAAAAGCCAGATCATCTGTTCCATTGACTTACCAATCATATTAGCTCTAACTGGGAATGTGACTGGCTGAGTGACACTGGAGAGCAAGTCTTTCATTGGCTGAACGAAACGCCATTCATAATAGTCATTTTCAACAGAAATAAACGAATGAGTGGTCCAGCCAACGGAGAGAGTAGCTGATGGAAAATACTTGGTACAAAGTGAAAAGAACACCCCTGGATTGACAGGACTACAATCACTTTTGCAAGGGCCAGGCAAGATATCTGCATTCAACCATATTGGATTGACGGCTTGTTGTTGTGAGGTTTGTTCTAGAAGAATTTTCAGTGAGGGTTCAAGAACATCTGTGGATTTGAAATCCAGTTTGATACCTTTGCGTGAGTTGAGAGCCCCTTTAAGAAACTGCACAAGTGAGAGATCACTGTTTGTACTTGGTGGATGCGCCATGATGGGAGTTCCATCAGCCCGCTGGGATACATCCGCCTCTAACATCATAACCTAAAGAAAAGCTTAATTTAGGTTTCTGGGAAACTGCTCACCTACCCCTCCCCTAAGTCAACACTAACACTTACTTCTCACTTAGGGCAAAATGTTGGGTCATGGGAGGGGGAGGTAAGCAGTTTCCCAGAAACCTAAATTGATCCAAGAAAAGATATAGAGAAAGTCAATACAGTCAACTCTCTCCAAGACTGACTCCTTTGGGATCATGATACGTTTCTGAAAACTATCCACCTAGACCCACTTACCCCTCCCCTAAGCCAACATTAACACTTACTTCTCACTTAAGGCAAAATGTTGGCTTAGGAGAGGGGTTAGTGGGCACTTTCCACCTTTGGGACTACCATTAAGTGTCTGTGTTAGAGAGATGTCCGTCTTAAAGAGATTCAAATAAAGGGAGTAAACGAAGGTAGGGACCAACCATAGGTGTCTGTTTTACAGAGGTGTCTGTTAAGAGAGAGTCAGCTGTACAGTGTGTGACCTATAGAAGGTTTTACACAGTTACATGTACTCATTATAGCTGAGTTAACTGTTGAGACAAAGGCTCATCTTTTTAGCCGTAGCTACCAGAAAGGTATAGAGACCATTAGAACCAAAACAAGAAAAATAATAATAATAATAATAATAATAATAATAATAATAATAATAATAATAATAATAATAATAATAATATACACTTATGTAGCGCCTTTCTCCTAGTGATCCAAAGTGCTTTAGAATCAGTAAATACTTAGAAAACAAATAATTCAAATACAACATAATAGGATTAAAACCAAAACTGGCAGGAGGCAACTAGTTGGCTATTTACAAGCGTGGCCGAGGGTCCGAACTCGGGACGACCGAGAACAAATCCCCCAAGTTGCCAGAGCGGGACTCGCCGGATTGCGAGTCTGACGCGCTGACCACTCGGTCACACTGCCTCCCTATAAAAAAATATAAAATCCACCCTATTATAAGGAAGAAAAGACTGCAGATGCCATCATATTTCCAGAGTGTGTACAAACCAAGTAATCTTTGAATTGTCTACTGGCAAAACCATGACAGTAGACAGTGACATTGCATTTGCCCAGCCTAGTCCTTGTATTCTCTCTCGCCACAGTGTCTGTGAGTCTCTATCAGTGACATAACAGCTCAGGGTAAAGATTATTGGTTTGACTGAGCCAAGAATGCTTCGCGACTAGGCTGGCATTGCCTGTACATTTTGAAAACTGTGCAACCACATTGTAGAGAATGCTACACATACTGTGCTTGGTCATTGTCCATGATCTTTTAGAGTAAAGACACACAGCTGTCGTCACCAGAAACTTGCTTTCTTTGTTTTGTTAAACATTGTGTGCAACATTATTTTGAAATTTTTTGCGCAATCATTGCTGATTAAGCAAGCAAAGGCCTTGAAATAATTCAGCAAGAAAAATAAAAGGAAAAACTAGAAAAAAAAAAAAAAAAAAA